CAGCTGCCGGTCCCAATCGCCCCTCAGGGCTTCTCCACCTCCCCCTGCTCCTGAGGGGTGATCGGGGCAGCAGCCACTGCTCTCACCCACTGACGGCATCAGCCCTGCTTGCACCTGCTGCTGGTGCCAGCCCCAATTGCTCTGCACCCGCAGACACGTGTCCTCCCAAGAGGGGACCAGGGGCCAAGGCTGGAGGGGCCAGGCAAGGGAGTGAAGGATGGGCCGAGACCTACCCCTCTGTCCACCACACACTTACAGCCCACAGTTCCTTTCAAGGTGCATGAATTCATGCACTGGGCCCCTAGTCTATAATAATAAAAACGTAATATGCTCATTAGACTGAACAGCCAAACGACCTTCTGGATGTCCTTCTGAACAAAGCTGGGGCTGTGAGGGTCGAGGCAGCTACCACGGCTGTGAGGGCCAAGCCCCTTGCACGATTTTGTGCATTGGGCCTCTAGTATAGGATAAAAGCCTAAGCGACCATTCGACTGGTTGACATGACGTGCACTGACCACCAGGGGGCAGACGCTCAACGCAAGAGCTGCCCCCCTGGTGGTCAGTGCACTCCCACAGTGAGAGCTCCACTCAGCTGACCAACGGGCGCCAGAGGCAGAGCTCATGGCTGGTCGCAGCAGCCCGGAGACTGCAGCGGAGCAGCAGCGAGCCTACTGAGTGGCGGTGGCAGCAGGCACAGCAGGGCTGATATAAGCAGGAGTGGCAGGCAGGAGCAGCAGGCGGCGTTGGACTACCAGTTTCGGCCTGATCCCCGCAGGCCATGCCAAGGGACCCCACCAGTGAACAAATCCGTGCACTGGGCCTCTAGTAAACCGGACAGTCTGCAACAGGCTCTTTAATTGTTCTTCTATAAACAAGGCACCATTGGCTTTTAATAACTGTTTAAGTAACAAAGAAATCTGTTACTCAGTGGACACCTGCTGTCCTATTGTGAAACCTTAGCTGAAAAACATACCCTCAAACTTGGCAATTCCAAGCTGGCTCCAATGACTTACTGCGCAGTTAGTCTTCGTTTTCTTACTCTTCGTTTCCGCCGTGTCTGGTTGCATTCCTTGGTCCTCACGTGGGGTACCACTTTGCCAGGGCTGACCAGCAGACCCTGAGCTATAGATGAATGATTACTCTGACACAGGATTGCTGTGAAAGAAAGGGCTAAGGGACTGCCTGGCTAAAGGAACCAGACAGCCTTGATTGCCTGCCTCTTCAGGCTTTTATTGTAAAAGCAGTTTGAGATAAAGTTTATCTTTTAGATACAATCAGTAGGGTAAGTAATCTTGGGAGGACACATGTGTCTACAATGTCCTTTAAGCAAGGACACCTAAAGATTAAGCATAAAGATTCTAGTAAACACCCAAGGTACACACACTTGTTTGGAAAGGTCAAGGAACAATTAGGGGTAGCCACCTTCGGCCAAACTCCCCTAAGTAGGAATTCTGATAAACAGGGTAGGCTGCCTTCAGCCCACTCCTTTTTTCGGAATTTTTCTCCTTACAAACTTTCCAAACAAGTCACCTGTGCTCCCCGACAGAGCCAAACTGATGACAATTGCTGGGAAGCAAGATCTCAAACACTCCTGAGAATGAGATTAGACACTCTGACCTTTCCAGTTAGGAATTTATGATCAGATCACTCTGTGAGTTTACTTTCCCTGAATGGACTTCTCAGTGTTATTACAGACCCCTTTTTCATCCATAACTGTAAACTCAGAAGTGATATTGCTGGATCATATAGTAATTTTATGTTTAATTGTTTGAGGAACCATCATACTGTTTTCCATAGTGGCTGAACCATTTTATATTTCCACCAACAATGCCTGAGGGTTCCAATTTCTGCACATCCTCACCAATATTTGTTATTTTATGTTATTTTTTAAATATTTTTATTGATTTCAGGGAGGAAGGAAGAAGGGGAGAGAGATAGAAACATCAATGATAAGAGAATCATTGATTGGCTTCCTCTTGCATGCCCCACACCAGGTATCAGCCTGCAACCCAGACATATGCCCTGAGAATCGAACAGTGACCTCCTGGCTCATAGGTCAATGCTCAACCACTGAGTCACACCAACCAAGCCAATTGTAGTTCTTTATATGTCCTGGATATTAGTCCTTTGTCAGATATTTGATTTGCAAATATTATCTTCCATTCTGTAAGTTGTGTGTTCACTCTTGATAATGTCCTTTGATGTACAAGAGTCTTTAATTTGATGCTCAATTTATCTATTTTAATTTTGTTGCCTGTGCTTTTTTTGTTGTTGTTATCTGTCCAGGTAAGAGATATACAAACCTGCAGAGAAATTTTCATAAGAGTTTATTTGAGCCAAACTGACCACATATGCAGGAAGCAAGATCTCAAAAGCTCCTGAGAATAACACTTCACATCTTCTTTTATGCATTTGAAATTAAGGCGGGGATGTAAGGAAGATTGGAGAAAGCAAGGCTGGGATTGGATTACAGGATAGTTAAGAAGATTATGTGCTCTTGAGGGAACATACTCCTTCTTCAAAGGATATTACTTCTGTCATTTCTTTTTTTTAAATATATTTTTATTGATTTCAGAGAAGGGAGAGGGAGAGATAGAAACATCAATGATGAGAGATAATCATTGATTGGCTGTCTCCTGCATGCTCCATACTGGGGATCGAGTCCGCAACCCAGGCATGTGCCCTTGACCGGAATCGAACCGGAGACCCTTCAGTCCACAGGACGATGCTCTATCCTCTGAGCCAAACCTGCTAGGGCTACTTCTGTCATTTCAAAGGTGTGTTAACCTAAATGCGTAAGAACAAATGACAGGGCTAGTTTAAAACCTTTCATAAGGAAGTTATAGGCCTGGAGCAAGACTACCCACAATGACCTGCCCCGTTGGGAATTTGTGATCAGATCACCTGTGAGGTGACCTTCCATAGAACCCCCCTTTTTTTATCCATACCTTGGACTCAAATGTGCCAACTTTGTATATTTTCTTTCTGTAGGATAGCAATATCCATTTTCTAGGTCAAATATTTAGCAAATTCAAATATTTGGCTCAAAAGTTGTGTGACAGGAAAGTTACCTAACCTCTCTGAGCTTTAGTTTCTTCTTGTGTTATTTGCAGATTAAGTGAGATAATGTATGTGAGGCAGTGTCTGGTCAATGTAAACATTCAATAAGTAGTATTTCTATTTGTTGTTTTTTAAATATATTTTTATTGATTACAGAGAGGAAGGGAGAGGGAGAGACAGAGAGAAACACCATCGATTGGTTGCCTCCTGCATGGCCCCCGACCAGGGCCAGGAGCCTGCAACCGTAGGTGCCCTTGACCTGAATCGGTCCCAGGACCCTTCAGTCTGCAGGCCCATGCTCTATCCACTGGGCAAAACCGGCCAAGGCACGAATGTGCTTTCTTAAATCAGAACGGAACAATCAGTTAACAGAGCATGATTAATATTTCTTGTAACTACTGCTAGTCCCCATTATTCTATTTCTGCCCCTAACACTTTGTTCTTGATGCTTACTACTTAAGCAGGAATCAGCCTTCTTCGGCGCCCACCACGGAGTAAGAAAGGGAGCCTCCCAGTTGGAGCAAACCCGGTGTAATGAGGCCGGGTTCCAGCGTGGCTCCCGCAAGCGGGAGAGGGTGTGAAGGGAGCAGGGAGCCATTCAGAGACCGCGGAGAGGGGCGGGTTGTGGGAGCGCCCAGCGCGCTCACAGCGGGTCTGAAGCGGGACCCAGGCCTGGAGGGCCCAGAAAGCCGGGACCGAGTGGGGCGCCTCCTGTGGGCGCCAGGCGCGCAGGAGCGGTGCTTGGG